GAATTTTAATACCATCAGATCGTGATTAAATTATTTGTGCTAGATATCAAAATACCAAGATAATTGAATAGAACTTTTTTTCTTCCTCGCTCAAAAAAAAAAATTAGATTTGTCTGCCGAAACACAGTCATTTTGGTTTACACTTCGATTGGAATGCAATGAGTAAAGACACTCATTATTTTTATATTTACGTCGAGTAGGTAAGTACCTTGTTTACCATTGGGGTGTTTTTTTATAAAATATGTATGTTTATCCCATTACCATAAGCGGAGTGCAACTTACAACTTTTAATACACATCACAAAAATAAGCACCTATTATGCAAATACGGAACGTTTTTGAAAAAATAATTCGTTTTTTATACACGGTCCATGATTAATGCGCTGTTGTTTTAAAGGCAGTATAATATTATTATGATCCGAGGGGCAATAAATACGATAAAAAAAAAAAAATTATAAATAAATTTAATTCTAGTTTTATTTTCAGAGGCGTACTAATGTGTACTACGTATAACCACGTTTTCTAGCAGGTCGGCGATCGTATTTATCATACTATTACGTCGGAAGACATATTATATGTTGTTACTTATATTGTTTTTTTTAAGTTATAAAACCACATGAGGTCGTCGACTATGCATAGTAATTGCCGTACCAGAATATAAATATATTATAATCAGGCCATCGGGGTAGTAGAGTTGTTGCACATTTTGCAATTTTGTTTTTCTTATTCGGATTTATTGCTAAAATAGTTTACAAATGTGTTTTGTTTACAGTACGTGAGTATGGTTTTGTGTTGTTACAAATTACAATAATGTATAATTTTAGGCCTTTACCATATCAGGCATGTACGTTTGATGAAAAATGTTTCTTATACTTTTAATTTAACTTAAAAAAGGATGAAACTAATTGTGTGTTTTGTGTGAATTTTTAAATTGTATTTATTATGTTTATGCAATTTACTTAGTCTAAATTATAAAAAGGGTTAACGATGATTGTTGATTATTTATTTATTTTAGTACATGTTTAAAAATGTAATGTTCGTCATAATTTTGTATACATTTTTTAATGCAACGAATCTGACCTACTTTTAATTATATGAATTACGCAGGCATAATATACATATTAAGTATGAATACATATATTAAAAAATAATGTCCGAGAATGCGTTTTTGTGGTTTGATGACATTTCCAAGGAAATATAAGCCTGTTCTGCGTGATTCGAATTTTTGAAATGTCGAATGTTACGAGACGACCTTTGTTCTCGTCGAAGTGCGCCTGTCATCAGCTGCAACTCTTCCGCCGCCACCACCACCACCAACGTTCACCGAAAAATTGACCTTTATTTCCATCGGGTTTTGTAATGCAAATGACATTATTATCATTGACGTGATAATATATTTATGTAATAAATCAAAAATTGTGTTTATATCGCAAATAAATAATATACTTAAATTTAATATTTACTCGATAATTATATTTGTAGGTATCTAGTAAAGGCGATAGATGAATGTCATCATTGGCGTTATTATCATTTGTTCGAACATAATATATCATAAGAACAGAACAATCGTACAAAGTACCTATGTAATTTTATTTCATTTAGTTCATTGAGTTCATCGCATACAAAAAGGTTTAAATAAATCAAATATATATTGATAGTTGAGGGTTGAAGAAGACGACTATTGAGGAAAATTGAAAGATAAGGATTACTTCTTCAAATTCTGTCTGGATATCATCAGATGCAATTTCTCATATTTAGACACTACCGGGTAAACAAAATTGTTTGGGCAATTAATAAACTTTAACAAATGTTCAAAGAAAAAAAGAAAAATAGTTAGAATCCTTGTTTTGTATTTATGAATAGGTTTTGTTATTTATGTTTCTCAAGCATAATGGGCATGTATAATAACAAATCGATCATTTACTAATACATACAAATTATAGTTTGTAAGTATTTCGTTTTAAAATTATAATAAAAGTATTATTTTCAAGAATATTATTGATTTGCGTAGAAGCAAATAAATCTCTGAGTATAGAAGCCTTTAAACTTATTTTAGAATGAAATTATAAAATAAATAAATAAATAAATAAACAAAAAATAATAGTATAATAATTTTAAACATACATTTAATGTCTTTCATCTTTCTTCCTATATTAGGAAATTTAAACAATATGTAGGTAGGTAGTCTTGTTAAAATATTAATTTAGAAACAAATTTGTTTGAATAATAAATGCTATACAAATGTTAAATTTCCTACTTTAATTTAATATGTAGACTGTAGGTACACCATGAAACCGTAAATAGTTTTTATTATTTGTGATTACCTGAAAATATCGTACCCGATGCTTCAGAAAACTCCATTTTTTTTTTGAAAAATGTAATATCACAATGTTTCAAATCATAATTAATAAAAGCTGTACAATTTATTGTATCGCTTATAATATTTAAGCAATTTTTACAAAAAGTTTGCATTAAATATTAATGGATTAAGGTAATGGGTAACTAAAAATCATGTGGAAGTGAAATATTCAAAATTTGCCCAAATAGCTGTTGTTAATTATTAAAACTATTCAAGACGTACAATTAAAAAAAAAATTTTAATGTGATATGCTTAAAACTTAGCTTTTTATTTATACATGAAAAAAAAATGTTTTTAAACAATATTCTGTATCGGAGTTAATACTTACGTGAGTACGTTGGAGGATCACAAAGGAAAAATATGAAAATATGTACTAAAAAATTATTTTACGACTTAAGTCATAAATATATCCTTTAAACTCGAATATGTAAAAATCCGCAACAATAATTTTTCGAATTTTTATTCACAACGTTGTGTAATGTATTTTGCGCTTACCCAGCATCAATAAAGTCGAGTAGAGAAAATATGCAAACCACAAAAGTCCTCGGCATACACAATCCGTATACATAACTAAACATGATATTGTAAGACAAAAGCTGCAGTAATATCGTGATCAATAATAATAATAATAATACGTGCAATAATATTTTTCAATGTCCTATGGTGAGAGGTGAAGCGAACAAATGTCTGCAGGGCGAGTCTCGGGGGCAACTTTACTGTCTTCCGCACTCCGACGCTATTCATAATATTTAATTTGACGTGTATTATTATATGCAGTCATGGTGTAATTTCTTGGAAAAAATTTTAAATATTCTTTTAGTTATTACTTATTACCATCTTGAACTTCTGCAAGAGATCATTACTAGGAATTATATAATATTTTGTATACGTGTTTGAAATTAAAAAGAAAACACTGTGATATCTCATTGTATAGAGTTCCGTAAGTGACCAGGGAAAATTACAGTGTTGTAGCTAAATTGCCTATCTAGGAATTCATGTGATCAAAATATTGCTATCGAAAACCATAAAAAACAATAAGCGTTTTCGCCCTACTTTAACCGAGTGTCGAGATGAAATAATTTTCAATTTTTTTCTCATGAATATGTTATATATGATTTAAATATGGATGAAATTTAATACATTTTTTTTTACCCAAATTTATGTTTTGTTTATAGTACTTACCTGGAAGTTGGAAGTACCGAAGATCGTTAACCAATTTTTTGTGGTTACTTAAATGTACCGATATCTATCTTGCTATATTTTTTTAACACGAAGAACATGCATAAATTCATTTTTAGCTTAATAAAAAAAAACAATAACCGTTGTCTTCTTTTTAATAACTAAATAATAAATTACCCTCTATAACTATTATTAAGTGTGAAAAATATATTTTACTTTGTAAAATGTAAAATACTAGGTCAACTCTTCACACCAAACTAACTATTTCATTACAAATTACAATTTTTATTTGTATGTAAATTGTAAATAGCAGTTTAGTAAAAAGTTATGGTTATAACACCTTCACAATCATTACTTCCTTTAATGATGTACATATTTCCTTAAATTTAGCACGTAAAAGACCAACGGTATTTACAAGTCCAAAGATTTAATTAGCAATATTTCACCATTTCATCAAGTACAAGTTAAGTTTTGTGGCAAAGAACAGTCTAATTTACCATAATAAATAATGATAACAAATTGGTCCGTTTCCCGTTCAGACAAATTACTCGAATTAAAAGTTTGTTTAAGACAACTTAAAATTTGCTGCCCCACAAAGTTTTTTTGCCGTTTTTTCGTCTGCTCTGCATATACAAATTGATCCGGCCCAGAATATATATTATTATATATTTTAACAATATCTTAAGGTTTATTACATCGTCAGTGTACCCATACTAGCAGATGATGATGGCTAGGAGGCGCATTTCAGTTGGTCGAAGTAAGCAGAATGATAGGTCTCTTGAATAATAAATAAAATGTAGGAATGGAAAAGAACACGGAATCAGTCCGATCGCCGATACGGACGAGTGAAACTTTATAATGATATGATTTGAATTTTTATGATATGCAGTTTTGTGGGGTCAGGTGACTATAGGTACTCACTACTACTCACCCTTAAATCAGGCCTTGAGAATAACATTAAATTTCTTTCATCATACGAAATGAAATGTTTACAAACAAAGTTAATATTTTTTACTGGGTGTTACAAACACGAATAAAAAATATATATCTTAAGTATATTTGTATTTACCTAAATGTACATATGTAAAAAAAAGAAACTGTAACTAATGGCGTTTGTAGGGCCAATGTATTATTACCGATGTATTTTAAGATAAATAATAAAAAAAAAAAAAAATATATATATATATGGTTCTTGAGGGAGGATGATGTTCCAAAATATAATGGAGAAGCTTTTCAAGCATTGCAGTGTGGAATGGAAAAAAAATAAGGGATCACTTCCATTTTATTGTCTATCCCACCCCAACCCCCCCTCTGCTTTATAACTACGCATGTTCCATTAAAAAAGGTAAACTTGATATTTTTTAAAAATGTATTTATTAAATTGAACTTAAGTTTACGTAATTGGACGAACTTATTCTTGGACAAGTATAAATTGTTGACAAACTGAAAGAAGTAGACATTACTGTTTACTTTTATTATTTATTGTAGTAGCTATACGAAAACGACATAATTATATATATAATATATTATAATATTGTCATGCTTTTAGTTTTTGATTTTCATGTGTTGTTGCATGATATTTCGAAATCCGGAAAAGCTTTCTTCAAAATATTTGCAGTAATCGAATGATCGGCCGGTCCATATTGCTGAAACAGAAAACAAATGATTTTTAAGCTATAGCGGCTTAATTATTTAAGTAAAAATGCACAGAGTTGTTTGTGAATTTTTTCTACAACACGTGTCAAAGTTAAACGAGTTGTATCGTCATTGGAGAAATATTATTATGGACCGATATCGTATATGATTCAATAGTTCTAGTGAATGGGATAAAAAAACCAGTTTTTATACTATGATATTATGACCACGAAGTTAAAGTATTTTAAGAGTTTTGATCGTTGTTGCGTTGCGTATGCAAGTTGACGTTTGGCTTACGAGAATTTGAAGCGGCGCAAGATTGTGCAGTAGTATTGTCGTCGTATTGTGTACACGAATTGCGAATCGAGTTGCATAATATGAATGCGTTATATACCTACCTACTTAAGTATTTTATTATGCAATGGGGGAAAAATGCAAATGTAAACATTTCTACGACTGGAGAAGAAGAATTCGGTGGTATAAAAAAAAAAAATATACCTAATGTCTTACGCTATGAACTCGCGTTAAATGAATGGATTGCGTTTTTCGTTTTCGTAGAGGAGTATAATATTATGTATAGGTACGTACATTACGCGTGGTGTGAATAAAAAAGAGAACAAAAAGCGATTGCCGTACCTATAGCTTATAATATAGTAAATTCACAGACATGTTACCCTGCTGCCATATACAGACAAAAGGTTAATTTCGAATTCTGGATAACGTATATACATTCTCCGACGTGGTAGCGTTCTTTCATGTTTTCGTTAGACCTTTCCCAAAAGCGTTTCCCCTTTATAAACACATTTTCAAGCATTTAGTGAGTTATTTTATTTTCTCAGTTTTTAAAAAAAATTTTTTTTTTTAAATAATAATACGACTACGTAGGTCTCTGAACAGTTTTTATTCTACTTCCTCTACATTGCCAAACGGAGCATGAAAGTTGTTGGTGAAGTTCCAGTGATAACGTCAACGTATATTTTGTTTAAAAAATCATGTTGAAATATTATGCAAGGTTTTCTATGGCGCGCAAAAAAACAGCGTCTATAGTTTTTATACGATTTCCGTGTGATTGCACCTCGTGTTCATATTATCATACAATATTATACGTTGATACTTCAGTATATTGCGATACGAAGTATGAGCTTGAAAACCGTAACTGGTATCGTTACCCAAACGGCCTAATGATACTAGCAAAATGTAAGGATTAATCGTTAAATTTTAGCGATGAGATTTTTTTTTTACTAGGCATTTTCGCCGAGATGGAGACGGATCGTCGAGTGTCCTTTCTGAAAATATACGTCACGCGAGACGTTGAAGTCATTATATTATATTTTAGATCGTATTATCGTCGGGCTAATGGTGCATATACATCCGCGGGTGTATATATTGGGTGCTATGTACGAATGACATGACGATGTGTTTTTTAAATTTACAAACAGTCTTTTGTTACTTATATTCACCACTCTAATTCCTTTAATTATCTCTCGTAACGATTAGCGGTAGACCGCGAAATTAATGTAATATGTAACACACTCTTTGTTGGTGTTCCGAGCCTCACATAAAACAATTTTATTTTAAGTTTCCCACCGCGTATGGTATGCTATACGCAATATAAAACTTCAAATTATCACGCAACCCACACACGTACACTACAACATATGTCCCAACTCTGGTACATTACACGTCTCCCGTGTTATGGTTAGTTAAACGATCTATGTAATATGTCCCCAAAGAGTTGATGATCGAAAATTAATCGAGCTGGACAACCCGATATTAGTAGCGTACGATTCGGCCACTGGTCTTTTAACTGACTGATACATGACTCCATTATTCTATATACTTTAACTCTGAGTAAAAACATTTAAGACCATATCCTTTCATTTCTAGAAGAGCTCTGATAGGCCGGGTGAATGTAGTTAGGTGCAAAGTCTGGTATAAAGCGCGTGATTGATGTTTGCAACCGGAAGCCGAGGACATACCATTCGCAGATACGGCTGGAAGATCAAAGGAGTTTGAGTTTGTTCCGGAATGAGATTTTCCTAATATCCGTTCATCTGTATAAGCTTGTACCTTATTAACCTGCCCACGTATTGCGCAGTCTGAATTCATTTGTACATTTTATTCATTAAGTTTTCACATCATCATTTTCGAAAGCAAAAGAAAACCCAGTAGATGTAAACAAGAATTTAGAGATTTCGTTCGTTCTTCGGGTGAGCACCCTTGGAGGTAGGCGCACACGGATCTCCTGTCTAGAGCTGGACACTTATAAGTATTTGGTTTCAGTGTTGCTAGGAATGTAAAAGTTGTCTTTAATAGTCAAAATCAAAAGTGTTTTTTCTTTAAAAATGTAAGTTCCTCTGTTTTTTTCTTATTTTACCATCCTCAAATCAGCTTTTTATAATTATTATTATACAATGTTTTAAAAAAGGTAGTTTGTAGGATAGCCTCAACATTTAATATGTTTAAGCTGCATATGGGAAGTTGGTACAAACATTTTGTCGAACGGCAAGTAGGTATGAACAAAATAATTATTATCGTATGACAATCTTTTAAAAATCGAAAATGTTCCTATCGTTAGATTGTCCAATGCCAGTAACGGAAATAGCCAACATTTTCAGGGCCTTCTCAGGACTCCGAAGAACAATTTTAGTGTAAATGTACATATAGCGTACATGGCCTTTATATTGTATTAGTGAGATTGTTAAGAGAACTTATATCTGTGTGTGTGTTGTCTTACTATAATACTTGTAACATAAGCACAATTTACAATTTTAGAATACTTAAAACTTGCTTTAAAAATATTTTAAAAAACCCGGGCAGGGAGCTTAAATAATATTTTTACTTTTAGACTTGATAATAGATAACTAATTCACTATGTATCATGCGGCTATAAAAATGGATACGTTACGTTCAGATAATATTTCTTGAGGGGAAGGGGATTCTAACCTCATTTCGATTCACGCCACCGTCGATATTGCTGTATTTTCTGAGTTGTCGAAAACAACTGTTTCTGGATACCGAAAAGACGAACTGAATGCATATATTATTAATTGCTTCTCTTTTTAATTACTTAAATCCGGACTCGCGGACCGGTATGAAACAAAATCAATTAGTTGTTTAGCCTCATATCATTCTGTATACAAGAGAGTGATTATCGTAATATTCAAGGTTTTCACACCGATATGATGTAATGCACACACAAATTCTATTTATAGTCCAGTTTTATTGATACTTTACTTACAACACCACGTATATAGTGGGAGTTATGCAGTGTACCTGTACACACGATTTTTCTCCACACGCCCACACGCATTCCTGTGTTTATATAGGTATACCTATACACGTCATACGGACTATCGTATTACGACCTCGGGGGTATAGGGCCGTGTGTAATTCGACCATGGGATAATATTGACATATATATCCTCCTTTCAATCGACGACGGCACCGGCGACAGTGGTGGGTAGTATACGTTTCTTGGATACTTAAAAATCCAATTTCTATTTCGCGACACTCGAGATCGTTTTCAAACGCCGCCACAAAGCACGCCGAGCGGCACAAACCGCATCGTTACACACGAACTGGAGTCGTATCATAAAAGTGAGAGTCGATGCGAGTGTGTGTCGACAGACCCATCTTCAAAGCCTATACATACATCATTCACGGGCTCGACACACCCGTTGCGCGACGAAGACATGGTACGAATCATCGAATTGTCTCGATCGGATAATAATCGTTTTAAAACCGTAACAATTATACGACGGGTGTCGTTCTGGCGGGGGAGCGGGGAGCAGGGGATGTATTTACGTTTTGTTTGCATTGCTCCTAGCATAAGAGTTTTGACGGATTTAAATGATCATTGTGTACGGCTCGATTTGATTATACAGCGTCGAGGGACGACGCTTTCGCGCTTAATTAAACGATGGAACGCCCGAGGACAATTTTAGAGAATCTTTTTTCCGTGTTTCGTTTAATCACGTCGCCGAGACGGATCGCGGACACCGTAAAATGCAGGAATCGTAGACGTCTTATCATTATTATGTTAATAGCGACGATTCCGACTGAAACATTGTCTGACAGCCACGGAGCTGTCACCGTTTAATCCGATCGGTCGTATTATTACTCAAGTTTGTGCGCCGTACGTGTATACGTCTACCTGCGAGGAGTTTGATGGGCGGGAGCCCGTTGATATATTTGTAGAAGAGTGGCAGGGATGGGGGACGGGGAGGAATAATAATTTTGTCAACGTTTCGTTTAATTTCACTAGCTCAACATCATTGGTAAATGTATTTAACACTCACAGTGTTTGATCAAATACCGGAAAAAAGTACACAATATTTTTATTTTTTATTTTTACGCTGGGGTTCAGCGTGGCTAATGAAAAAAGCTCGATTATAAAAACGCGTATAATTTATTTAAATTACCATATTGATGATGAGTTAAAAAAATTCATCAATTTATTTTAATTTAATTTTGAATTATATATTAAAACGACCACATTGATCAATATGATGTTTATTAAAATAAATGTACCAATTAATTTTTATCGTATTTTTAATACTTAAAAGTTGTTTTCAGTCCACGTTGAAACACATTATAATTTAAAAAAAAACATTTGGAACCTTTTTTCCGTTAACCCACAGTTTATTCTCGTCAATGACATTTTTTTAATTAATATTTTTAAAAATGATATACATATAAAATTTGAATTATTGTTTTTATTAATCTATACCTTATTGAAAAATACATTTTTTTCGTTTTAATGTTTCTTAAAAATCTCAGAACCAATTTAACAGGCTTAATTACTATGTATAAACTGAAAAAGTTATAATGTTTTTACAATACATTTATTTATAACTGGCAGCAGGTAAGTATTGACTGTATGCATATAATTTATGGGTGTATCACGTATCAATGAAGTAGTTAAAGAACTGTATATTTTTTTCAGAAAATGAAGAATAACTAGGGAATAACGAAGTTTGTTTTAAATTTTTTTATTGTTGCATGAAAT